GAAGGCTAGGTCCGCATGACCTGCACACTATAGTTTTCTCGTGCCCCATGGTCAGAACTCGCAACTGCAATTTTATTTATCATTAACCCCAGTTTAGCATGAAGTGTGCCAATGTAGCTTCACTCGAGATGCTGCACTGGATATCCTATACTTACCGCTCATCATGGATCTGTGAATTGAAGTTCTCATTTATTACATGCAGACCCCTACATAAAGAAATAAATAAAGAAATAAACATAAAGTTGCAAAATCTCAGTTCAATGCAAAGGTGGCATCTTTTACTCAATAGTGAATTTTCCGCAGAAATTTAGCTCTTGACCGACCAATGGGAGACGGCTACTGTGTAATTGTACATCAGCACCGGCCTCACAAAGTAAAACACTTTTAGCATTCATCATGGCTGATAGAACGACTAGTATATAGCACAAATGATCTAGCTCATCTAAATCTCTACTCAATTAACTTTTCCGAGAGCAGCATATGGGCCGCGATCAGCTAAAACATGTCTTTGGGGTTCGGTAAAAAAAGTTGAGAAATGACGGGAAGAAAAAAATGTTTTGTCGAGCGCGTTCAAGCTGCGCTTCACTCATCATGAACCAGTGGTGACCATCTTCTCAAATTTTGTTCAAACACTTGTTTGGCGGTGTAGTTCAAGTAGTTGGCGAGTAAGGTCCCAAAAACTGTGTTCTGGAGGAAAACAAAATTTGAAAATTTTCACTCTAAGACATGTTTTAGCTGATTGCGGCCCATATGACGCTACATGAGACTTGTTCTACGTTCCTGTGTCTCCCATTGCCGTTCAAGTGTTTTGATAGCCTGGCTTACTTAGGGTCGGGCAGTCAATGAGATCACGTGATGGGCCCATTGGATTTACCGTAACTCGGGTATCATATTTCCCCGATTATTAGTCGCACTCGCAGGCAGGCATAGTGGGATGGTCTAAGACCATGATTGAGAAACAGAGGGTACCAGGTTCAAGTCCTGCTTGGAAGCGGAAGGATTTTTTCCAGCCGTGCTGCGACCCACAGTTAATTGGGAACTCGTGGCCTGGCACGAGGAAAACATGGATGCAGTGAATGGGATTTTCGGTCTTTGACCACTTGCTGGTGAGCTGATCTACTCACCTCCCACCGCTTTAGGAGCTGCATCTGCGCCTTGATCCTTGAAGGGTGGTGGCGTTCCTACGGATGCGGAAAACCCGGCTTCCAGCCGAGTCTCACGCGAACCGTGAAAAAAAAAAAATTTTTTTTAGTCGCACTCGATTACAAGTCGCACCCCATTTTCAGGTTTCAGCAATATTGTTTTAATATACTGATTTCAGTAGTAACTCATACTCGATTGTAAGTCGTAGCCCCCTTTTACCTTTGCCTTTTTGTGTGAAAAGGTGCGACTTATATTCGGGGAAATACGGTACTCTCAAAAGTAAGAGTCACTGCTCTACACCGGTGTGACCAGCTTAGGAAGAGTGCTAATTTGTTTGAACACGGAAATTACTATAATCATCAACACACACTATAAAATAAGGCAAGAGCCAATGCTGGGCCCAATGCAGTCCCTATAGTTGTAGTACATACTCAACATAATGACTAGCAGTCTGCCGAGGTGGTAGAGTTGGACGTGGATGGCTCACCGTGTCGGTGGGACGAGACGTTCTGCACATAGATAATTATAGGTAGCAAGATGCATCAAGTCTATGCAGCAAGTACATTACAGCAAGTCTGCCGTGACAGTAAACTTTAATGTGCGTTCTAATGGAGGACAAAATGTGCCAAAGCACTTGTGGTAACCAGGTGTACGTCTTATCCAAGTCTGCGCTAATAGATTATTACTGTACCCTTGTTGTTGGATCGACTGGCAGGTTGCGGACAGCAGTGAGATCAACCGATGTCTACAGATCGAACAGCTGTGGTCAGCGGCATTGTATGCATGCACTCTACCATTATCATGTTGACAAGGCTCGTGATGGCAAACACTCGGACTTTGAGCAAAACAAAACACAATGGAACTTCTCGATGACAGACACCCTTGACCTGACATCGGTGACCAGAATATAGCGGCTCCAAGATTATTAGAAAACAGCACTGATTGTTTGGGAACAGCTGGGGCTGAATGATGTCTGCTTAGGGACGTTTCACTGAACTCTTTATTTGTCGAATTCTAGTAATTGACCAAATCATACCGTTCGTATACTTCCGCCGTGGAATCGAAAACATTGTGCCGCACATTTTGCTCATTTCTGCACAAAAAAACATGCATGGAAATATTGATACAAGAACAGAAAGTGTAAGTGCAGTCTTCAATTTTGTTAGCATAAGAATGTTTTTTTGGCCATTCACCACCCAAACGCAATGATCGGCCCTGAAGGAGCACAATATCTGCTGGAGGGTTTGCAGTATACAAGTGGATGCTTTGGCAAAACTGAGGTGATGTATTTGTCTGCCTATAGAGTCTGTCCATTGCGAGTCAAAATAGTATGCGCTTTGTTTTCAGAGGCCAACCCAGGCTTGTGATGTCACTCCAAATAGAACATCTCAAACTTGATGGAACTACATTATGCTCTTTGCAGTGGTGGTACAAGGATGTTGTTTCACATTTCAAAGTTTGAAATTGCTCCCATGTTGGAAGTCCATGCATACCAGTTATACTTGTGCACGTAAGGGCTGTGGTGTGTAAATACATGTACTGGGAAACTAGCACTAAATGTAAACGTGGAGTTGCATGTCACAGGCTACGCACGAGGCTTGCTAAGAAAATGGTCCCCCCCCCCCCCCTCACACATAAACATGCCAGCGATCAAGTTCTCATGGGTACTTTACTAAATTTTAATGATTCCTCCTCAGATTAGCCTAGCAGAATACTATTAACAGTCAGTGGTGGTGGTACATAGTATAGTCTGATTAGCCTAGCAGTGGTGGTGGTGGTACATAGTATAGTCTGATTAGCCTAGCAGTGGTGGTGGTGGTACATAGTATAGTATGATTAGCGTAGCAGTGGTGGTGGTGGTACATAGTATAGTGTATGATTAGGAATGTACTTACACAAGTATTTGAGGCGGTGGATATCTGTACACGCATAAGTGGCAGGACACAAGACAAAAGGAATCCAGTGCATGAATCTAAACATTTTCAGTATTTACTATTTATCCCTTCCTAAGAAAAAATGAACAAAAACAAATGTACAGTTGCTGGCCGGTGCAACAACAACAAAAAGCGACCCCGTACTACTGAACTACTACGAGTACGAGCTAGCTATTATGTGTCGTCCTTGAGGCATCCACACAATGCTTTTAGATGATTGCCTGTGAGCGTCCAGTCAGTGCCACTGAATACAGTCACCTGAAGACATGTGGCCATGTGCCATATCTGGAAACTGAGCCCCACCCAAGTGTGTACAGTATCGTGTGGAAATCTTAGTATAATGATCATAATGAAGTGGCCAATGGCATGTGAAGAGATTAAAGACAAGACATCCAATATGGACTTGATCGTTATCTAGGCACATCCCAATATTGCCCAATGCAAAGCATGACTATGTGCTGCTGGTCATGCACGCACGTATCTTTTATGTCCTAATATGGCATTTGACCATATCCCTTACCATCCAACATATCCATGCTGCCACCTCACCAACAGACAAGTGCATAGGTGAGTTTGCAAAAGCAATTTACCTGCATGTAGCTTCCTATCCATAGTTATTGTAACTTTAGTCATTGAATGACATCATTGCATTACAGCTGCATTCATAACAGGTGGGGGTAGGCACCAGTGTGGCGTAGGGTACACACAGCACTACTACAAACTCTGCACTGTCCTTTATACAGATCAGGCTACACTCAGTGACTGTCACAATGCACACATGCATACACACACACTCTCTTTCCTCTTTTCTTGCATGCGGAAAAATCACAGTCAACCTCCTGAATAACAACATTGGGTATTAGAACGACACAATCTTCAGACCTAGTGACTACTTGACTGGATACATTCAACCTTACGAATACCGACAACTTGCTAATAACAACGCTTTTTTCATGCACAATCGAGGGTTGTTATTGGCAAGGTTGACTGTATGTCGAACTTCAGACCTAAACACCAATGATCAGACCCGACCACTGTAAATGTAAACAATAAGATAGAAGCTGCAACGCATGAGAAAACATTGCGCCATCTTCTGCTATACTTATTTTCTGCACCTAGCTTCTTTACGCCTGTCACAAGCAGCTTTATGCTGCCTTCCTTTCTAATAGGGAGTGGTAGACTCCATGGTGAAAATGGATGTTCGACTTTTCCATAAATGGTGGAAATACTTTTGAACTGTATTTAAACCTCAGTGGCATATGCTGTTAACTTACGTTGTTGGCGGTGGCTCTGGAGTTTGTGGTAGTGGTACTGGTAGTGTTGCTTCTGCTGAAACAGCCAAGAGAGGTTCTGGTCGTGTTGCTACTGCTGAAGCAGCCAAGAGAGGTTCTGGTGGCGTTGCTACTGCTGAAACAGCCATGATAGGAACTGGTGGTGTTGCTACTGCTGAAACAGCCACGAGAGGTTCTGGTGGTGTTGCTACTGCTGAAACAGCCAGGAGAGGTTGTGGTGGTGTTGCTACTGCTGAAACAGCCACGGGTGGCACTGGTTTCACCTCTGTTTCTGCTGCTGCTTGTGGAGGTGTTACAAGTGGCACGGGCACGGGTACTGATATCACCGGGGGAGTTGCAGTAGTAGACCTACACAGTATTGTGGTACATATAACACCAACAAACAATCTCCAGGATACTCACAGATAACTATTCTGTCTTGCCTATCAAGGAAGTCGGGACTCCTAAATAGGAATGACATTGTGTTCTTTCCATAGAGAATCTCTGAAAGGCAGATGTGCTTGGCGGTTTATGGTATCACTCAGAACAGTACTAGCTAGCAAGTCATATCTTGCCATTCTCTTGCAAAATGAAAACCATCACAATTCACTGTTTTGGTATGAAAGGGGAACTGCACACATTGACAAAGAGGAACTAGGGCTAAAAATCTAAATTTCACTTTTTAGTGGTCTTCGGGGTACTGAGTTGGATAGTCTTGGTGCTAGGAAGCCAAGGCCCTCCCTTCGGGATACATGTACTCCCAATCGATCTCGCGCACTTTCCCCAAACTGGGTGAGTGCGCTGAAAATATCACTGAAAGTGAAATATCGGTTTCATAGAAGGGCACACAAGCAAATAGGCAAATCTAGACGGGGATGTGCGGGTGTGGGAAATTTCACTGAAAGTGTCATATCATTTTCATAGAAGGGCACACAACGGCAAATAGGCAAATAGGCTCGTATGCAGCTACCCAGGACAACGGAACATAAGGTGCCATCCGGGAATGCGAAAAAGCTCCACTTACGCGGTTCAGGGGAATGGAAGTGCAGGGAAAAATGTACGGCGTCAGGCGAAATAGCACGTCATAGTACATTTGAGATCAGCGGGAAGAAGATGACGACATCCACTAATTAAGTATCTGTGCACACGAATCTGCTGCGTGTGTGACTCTGTGTGTCAGCTATGATATCATCCCCTGTGGTTCCATGCCTAGCATGTATGTCTGAACTATCCTGCAAAGTTTGAATGACGTAGGTTGAGCGATCGCTCCGCGAAACATACTTTTTGAAATTATCTTCATAGTATATCTTCCACCATTGAAATTTCGAATTTCTTGCTGAGAGGGGTGGCTTGCAACCTCGATGGCTTGTTCCAGGCATGCTTTGGAGCCATCTCCTGTTGAAGTGGTGGCGGGGATCTGCCCTGCAACTGCTACAACAAAAAATGATTCGATCTGAGAAAGGGTGAGACCGCGAATATCGGTTGAATATTGAGTATTTCATGCCTTTTCATGACGAAGATGGAGTTCTTTTTGGAGATGGACGTCGAAGCAAAGGACATGGTGTCCGACTTCTGGGGTCTGGTGAAGCCAGGGATCATTTGTCCAGTCAGGTCGGCAGCCTAACCGTCGGTAAGCTTGTGTTTGGATCCCGTTCTGCTCGATGTGGTAGATCACAAACAATTTGATATCGCACAAATTGATCTCAGCATCGTGCGTACGGTATTTTATATTCAGAAAATCCCAAAGTGTCTCTGTGTGGCCGTCCTATGCCACGAGAAACTCCAATCAGGCTCCCATGTCCTCTGCGTTCATGATTGAATGTCCACTTCGTTTGAACAACGAACACAACAATCGAGGACGGCTTTGCGATGAAAAATACAGCTATACTGGAGCTGAAATAAAGAAGAAAAAAACGTGCTGGGATGAGACTCGAGTACACGCATACTCTCCCAGCAGGTGAAATGCAAATTTTTGTGAAAAATGCGTGTCGCCGACTGACCAGTAATTTCGCCTGACGGGAGACGAGACCTAACAGGTTGCTGCATGCACCCAGTTTCAGGGAAGTACGCAAGTTTGATTGGTAATATTGGACAAGCCGATCGCAGCTTTCTTGGACCAAAACCATTAGTTTTGACTCAGCACCCCGAGGGCTACGTGTAGTGAAATTTTGACTTCAGGTTATACCTGCTCCTTGCCCGCTATGCATTGTGTCCCACCACAATTCACTGAGATATTTGTATCAATCATTTAGCCAACCACCTCAGTGACTGCCCCTCTTCTTTTTTTAAATCTAAATCATGCTTTTCCGTGAGGCACTTGCCAATACTACATACTTTGAACTGTTTTAAAGAGTGCCTTACGGATCACTTAGTCCATCCTTTAGCTTTGGTATGTAGAATGGCAGGTATCTTGGGTGTTGCTCATATCTGTGTGGAACACATCAGCAGTGATAAAAACATACATACACTAGAGAGGTTTTTGTAGTCAAGCTATTTCCAATTTGTTCCGTGCTTTGCAAGTAAATGGTTGCACTCCATGCAATCCGTGTCAAAGGTGTGTGTCATTAGACCCTGTATGTGATATATTAACTATTGGCTATTAGTTACCAAAGTTAAACAACTCACTTTTACACACATGTGCTGTATGTGCGCGCGCGCCAACCGCTCATATACACTGTCAAACCCATGTGCCAACCCACGACATGCACACACGCAAAGGCATACACACATGCTGCACACACACACACACACACCTCAGACCTCAGACCTCAGACATGCCCATCGCGGAAGCGATGATAGCGAACAGCTATGTTAGACATAGCAACTTGTGCTGGGATTACACCATTCAACAGCTTGCAAGGCTGATGAATTGACCGCCACTATTTTTAGCCTGGTATCCACCACACAGCTGTTTGAAGTGACTTTTTCTGGCCAGTGAATCCCTATTTTTCATTTTTCATTTTTTTCTACACACACACACACCACACCACATACTCCGGCATACACTGGATGTTGGTAACCACCCAGGAGAATGAAAGAAAAGTCAGGAAGAGTCCGAGAAAGAGAAGAAGGACGTGTGCGACCATAATCGTCGGGAATTGAACCCGCACACACACACACACACACACACTTGTACTTGTTGCTCACTACCAAAACTGGTCACGTGTGTCCCCCCGGGAGAGGGGAGAGAGACTCAAAAGGAATCTTGGAAAGATGACTCAATTCGTTATTGAACCGCCCAACGACCGACACCCTCTGAAATCCCCAAAACTCTGGGTGGACTTGAAAATGACCCCACTTATGGGCTCACCACACCTCAGTAAGTGGGTGAGGACAAGGTGCAGAAAAAGGATTGACGGCATCAGGGTATCCGTCCCGGGATCCAACTGCAGTTACCCCTGCCCCCAGTGAAGGTAATACTTGCTACTAGAGTGAGTGGCTAAATCAGAGTGGATCTGATAAAAGCTTCACTAGCACCATTGATTACACAAGAGTTAATCTAGCCAGAAGCAGTCCATGGTTGACAGGTATGTATACTTCAAACAAAAAGTATATGAACCCTGGAACCAACAAAGGTGGCAGGTACAACATTACACCTTCAAGCAGCCGAGCCTGTTGGCAACAGACCCAACGCAATCAGGCATAAGTGTACCTACCAACCGAACTAGCTGGCACACACACACACACACACACACACACACACACACACACACACACACACACACACACCAGGGCATAGCTTAAGGATTTCATTTAGCTCGGACAAATGTCCTTCCGTTTTGAAATCTGTCCGGACATGCCCGGACATTTTCCACAACACATTTTCAGGGTGTTTCTTCTTTTTATTTTTAGTAGTACTGAAGTATATTCACAATGACTCATTATGTGGACGTATCTCACACATTAAATAAAAAAGTAAATTATCGTATCCGTTCCCGAAGAGAACTCACGACGGCCGCTAACACCCGATAAACCCTAGCGGCAGATGCAGCGCCTAACGGTGGGGGTGAGTGGGCAAGTCTCACAACCACTGGCACAAGTGCCGAAATCGACCCCATTAGCTGCATCCATGTACCCCTTGTGCCTGGCCACAAGTTCCCAGTTGACTGTGGGTAGCAGCACGGCTGGAAAACCGCTCCCAGGCAGGACTTGAACCAGGTACCTCTCGTATCTCAATCATGGTCTTTGACCAACCCACTGTGCCTGCCTGGTTCTCACACATTACTATGTACAATTCCCCAATTTATTTGTGTTAGAAACTGAACTATTTACTGACGACAAATGTATGTACAAGAAAGCGTTGCAGTCAAGAATTTTGCGAACGCGATATGCTCCTTGCAGAGAAGGTAAGTCAGTTCGAATTTGCGTCGTGCAATAGCGGCAGCACTATCGTCTATCTTGCACAGTGCCTTCGCAATTGGAGCGAATTCGAGGGCATTTCGAGTGGGACACTCTTGCCTGCGGAAAAGATTCATTGCTCGTTTATGCATCTCCGTTCCAGCATGATCCTTGAACGCTGATGTTCTCAAGTTCTTGGATCCGGTTATGAAAGCCTCGCTGAAGTATTTACAATTGCGGACTCTGTCTACAAACTTGATGCACACGGAAGACTTCAAACATTCTGCTAACAGCCGATCGTTCTTCTGCCAGTCACAAATCAGCCAGGCGGAAGTAAGTCAGCTCTGCATCATTGTCCGAGATCCACTTATCGCAAGTAGCGGCCTTCACACCACGGACTTGTTTGCCCGGCGGCAAGTCCTCTGAATCTCCCTTTTATCCCTTTTATTTCGCTTTCCACAAGACATTCTAAAACTTAAAAGACTATCTGCATTCCTGGTCAGTGAAAGAGTGAAAAATAAAAGATGACATCTTCCTCTCGAGTCAAGAGCGAACAACTGCACTGCAGACTGCAGTTCAACCCATCGATTCAAGTGCGAAGTCGACACCATGTACAAAGGTCGAAAGTGTGAATTGACTGTAGCAACCGCGTTGCTACAGGCGGATCAAGTAAATCTGGTGAAGTACGCCTGAGGCTACGGTGTAGACGTGTTAGTTGTACGATATGCAAGTCGCATTTGGCACGAAGCTCCGAAGAAAGCCCAACTCTGCATAAAAAGGTCGAAAGGTCGCTGCTCTTTTTTTCCTTTTTGACCGGACACTATGTCCGGTGAAATTGAAAACGTCCGGTCAGTGCCCGAAAATGGCCGGAAAATGTCCGATGTCCGGCCGTTAATCTATGCCCTGCACACACACACACACACACACACACACACACACACACATACACACACACACACACACATACACACGCACACACAGCAATTTGAACTGTATAAAGTGACCACAAACTTACATAAGCTGCGATTGTGAAGCAGATCTACAGAAAAACATACACACACACACACACACACACACACACACACTTGTACTTGTTGCTCACTGCCAAAACTGGTCACGTGGGTCTCCCGGGAGAGGGGAGAGAAAGGAATCTTAGAAAGATGACTCAATTGGCTATTGAACCGCCCAACGGCCGACACCCTCTGAAATCCCCAAAACTCTGGGTGGACTTGAAAATGATCCGACCTATGGGCTCACCACACCTCAGTAAGTGGGTGAGGACAAGGTGCAGAAAAAGGATTGACGGCATCAGGGTATCCGTCTTGGGATCCAACTGCAGTTACCCCTGCCCCCAGTGAAGGTAATACTTGCTACTAATGTGGGTGGCTAAATCAGAGTGGATCTGATATAAGCTTCACTAGCACCATTGATTACACAAGAGTTAATCTAGCCAGAAGCAGTCCATGGTTAACAGGTATGTATACTTCAAATAGAAAGTATATGAACCCTGTAACCAACAAAGGTGGCAGATACAACAATACACCTTCAAGCAGCCGAGCCTGTTGGCAACAGACCCCACATAATCAGGCATAAGTGTACCCACCAACCGAACTAGCTGGCAACACACACACACACACACACACACACACACACACACACACACACACACACACACACACACACACACACACACACACACACACACACACACACACACACACACACACAGACACACATACACACACACACACACACACACACACACACACACACACACACACACACACACACACATTATTATCCTTTACCATACATGTATAAATTGGAATTTTCAAATTTGCACCCCCCCCCCCCCACCTCGCAACAGAGCTACAGTATGTTGGGTTATGCTGGGAGTGTCGATACGAGCCACTGGTTAAAGTATCGAAGCAAGCGTATAATGACCGGCCCGCTTGGAGCCACTATATGGCTCACAGCTGAGCCGCCAAATGATTCCGCATGGAGCCGCCAAATGACTCCACATGGAGCCGCCAAATGACTCCGCATGGAGCCGCCAAATGACTCCGCATGGAGCCACCAAATGACTCCGCATGGAGCCGCTGGATGACTCCGAATGCACAAAACCGTTCTGCGAGTTGCAAGCTCGAAAGTCAACAACAGCAATGATCCTGCAAGTCACCTTGCGCGGGATCTTTTAGGGCGCATGCCCGAGTGGCTTGCGCATGCGCGCAAATCGGGCCAGCTCGCTGGGCTGGCTGCTAACTTGCGTTAGCATGCTAGCGCTCATCTAACAAAACCTGGTCAATTCTCTCTAGATCGTGGAGAAAACTCTCAGTTCCAGTCTCAAATAATTGCCGAATCGATAGGATAAGAGACTTGTTAGTTACTTGGTCATGTGCAATGATTTGCTCTCAGGGTCTGACGCGTTACTCAACGACCAGGATGTTTCGTGAACACGTCAGTTGTTGGCAAAAAAACACCACTCATTTATATTCAAACTATGGGCATGATCGATTGGGCAAATCCCGAGCTAATGCACTCAGAGTGAGCGTGATGGTGTGGCCGAATTCGGAGTAGGTATACTTGGAGTGCCATCCATCAGTGCACATCACATGGAATTAGGTTTGAGCTCATGGTGCTTCTCTTGTCAGGAGTTTTCCAGGATGTTACGCTTTCCAACGGCCGTAAGAGAGTTGGAAAGCACGTGTCTTTGTGCATGGCCATGGCAATCATGGTGGTTCAGTGCGAGTCTCCGCAAAGCAGACACAGCCCAACGTGGTCGTCACTTCGCAGTGGCCTACATCTCTGATAGGACCAGAATCGCAGCATTCCCTTTTGCAAGTTTTTTTCCTTATGTTGTCGAGTTTGCCTTTTGTCGTGTAGGCAGTATGTCCTCCAGGCAGGCCCTGGAGGCCAAAACAATAGCTCTCCTAAAGAGGAGTTGATCCAGAAAGGGCTGAGTACCCATGGAAGAAAAGCCTATTTGGTGGATCGTCTGCTGCCAGCTGGCCAGCGCCCCAAATACAGTTTTCCCGGCGACCGAGGTCGTTGTAACACCTGCTGCTTGCATCCTGGATCAGCGCTCGCCGCTTGCTGTAGCGTTGCTGAACCAAACTCGTCTTCATACGCCTCAAACACGCTTGAATAGCGCCTGTCCCGCGCTGCAGCAGCGCCACTAATTCCTTCCCGATGCACCACGTCTCGTGTGACTTCAATCAGCTGGGCCATCGCGTTAGAGAATTGTTCCTCCAACACCTCCATTTCGCTAACCGTCTTCGAACGGTTCTTAGTGTCGTTATGACTACTGTAATATCCGAGCAAATCGCCCATGGTGCTCATTGCCCGGTCGTACGATTCGCTAAGCCGACTTGTCTCCTCCTCAAGCTCGCTACTGTCCGTGCCCTTTGTCAGTACTACTAGCGCTCGTCTGCGAAGCTTGGTAAATTCACTCTTCTGCCCTATCTTCATGGCTTTCAGAACTGTGACATCCTGGATGTCGTCTTCGATCTCCACATCTTCCTCCTCGGCGGAGTGGTGGTCTGCGCTATCAACGCCTTCACCCGACCCGGAGTGTACGCTCGTCTCCAGTGGCTCGGACGTGGATCCGCTGCAGCTTGTTTCCACCGTGGTCTTCGCTCCCGCCGCATGCGCGGGATGCTCCGGCAAGTCGCCACTACTACGAGATCTCTCATTATCAGACGCACTCATTGTTGTGCTCTGATACTACTGCACTTCCACTACTACTAGACTCAAAACCATCCTCTGCTACCAGGAAATGGTGAGAATGTAGCGACCTCGTACATGCATTTCTATATTATAATTATAAATCATTTTTCGTAAAATGGCCTGTAATACGCGACCGAGTGACAAGGCAAAACTGGTTCAGTCTCTCCGGCAAAACACAGGTAGTATTCTCAGGGAACAATATTGCACACACGGAACGACAAACGTAGGTGACACAGAATTACTTATAGTATATTGAAAGACTCAATAAGTGAAGGGAAGACGACAGAAACAACGGAGGCAAAGACTCTGCAACAACTGAGCTGGGCAACTGACACACGGATCTATATATATGGTACGAGATTGCCAGTTACAGCTCCGAGCGCTAGTTAGGGAATGAAAGCAAGGGATCTGATGGTGTCAGCAATGCATAGTGCAATACATAGTAATACATAGTGATTTGTGTAGGGGGAAGTCCGTCTACTACGCTACATAGTAATACATAGTGATTTGTGTAGGGGGAAGTCCGTCTACTACACTGCTCCCCCCTCAAATAATTTTCCGTCCTCGGAAAACAAACAAGAACATAATACAGAATTAACGTAGACCTAAACGAGGCTCAAGCAGCAAAATACATCAGCAAGAAAAAGAAAATCATACACAAGCACACAATGGAAACAGAGTGGAGCAGAAAGGCAAGGCAAGTGCGAGTTTGGAACTCATTGTGGGAACACATAGTTGTTCCTGTAACGAACAGGACGACCGGCGTTGCGGTGCAGATGGGCACGCGGACCAGGTGCTGGTGGTGCTGGCTGCAGCAAAACCGGCGGCGGAGGAGGAACAGGTTGGGGTGGGGCATCATCAGCATCAGGCCAGGAGAATAGCGGAACAGGCGGCGGACATGGAGAAGTAGGAGCCAGTGGCGCTTCAGACAGCGGGACATCTGGGCCGGACTGAGAGACTGACGACTTGGCGTTTGAGCGGGCGTGTAGCTTGAGGCGGTTGAAATGTACACGCTTACGGGTGCTGGAGGGTTCGTTGATCAATTGAATGTCGTATGACGTTGGTGGCGACACATGGACAATCCGGTATGGTCCGGTCCACGGTGGCTGGAGTTTGCGACGCATTCCAGGTTCAAGGAGCCACACACTATCACCGACTTGGAATGCAGTGCCACGTTGACGAAGGTCGTAGTGGTCCTTCTGGCTGTGGTGCGCAGCATTATCATTACGACGGGCAGTATCGAAGCTATGGTGGAGGGACTTGGACAGTTGTGTGACATATTCGGCGGGCGACACAAACTCTGTCGGGGGTGACCCATAGACAAGGTCGATAGGCAGACGGAGTTGGCGACCAAACATAAGCTGAGCTGGGGTGAATTGGGTAGAAGAATGCTTGGCTGTACGGTATGCAAGCAGGACGGTTGAAACATACTGATCCCAGAAGGTGGGCAGATCCGCTACATACACTCGCAACGTTGAAACTATGGTGCGGTTGAGGCGTTCCACGAGCCCATCGCCCTGGGGATGACACGCGGTGGTCCGAGTCTTTCGGATATTCATGAGGCGACACAGTTCACTGAAGAGTTCAGACTCAAATTGTGTGCCCTGATCAGTGTGGAGTTGTTCTGGGGCACCAAACCGACAGATCCAGTTCCGAAAGAACACATCCGCAACGGCAGCAGCAGTCATAGTGGGTAGAGGGTACGCTTCAGGCCAACGTGAGAAGTAGTCACTACATACCAGTAGGTAACGGTTGCCATGGCGACTGGTAGGCAGTGGTCCAACGAGATCCATGGCTACGATCTCGTTAGGGAAGCCAGCTCGCATGGACTGCAATGGTGCTCGGCCAGTCGTAGCGCTCTTACGGGACATGCACTCTTGGCAATTAGCTACAAATGTGCGCAAATCAGCTGACATACCTGGCCAGAAGAAACGGCATTTGGCCTTGTCAATGGTCTTTGTAGCACCGAGATGACCACCACTAACATCGGCGTGCACTGCAGCTAAGATATCAGCTTGGAAAGAGAACGGAACAGCTAATTGCAAAACAGAATCAGCCGATGGGTCTGTGCGATACAAAACACCATCACGTAGGGAAAGCAAATGAATTTCAGAAGCATAGCGGCGAACAGCACGGCTAGAGGCAGTTAATGTGTGTGCAGGGGGAGAATTAAACACATCATGACTAGAATCATGCCAGCCTAACACAATGGACACATCAGGATCCTCTTTTTGCGCAGCAAGCAGCTCAGCAGCAGTAAAGCGCGGCAGCCAGGAGTCAGGTGCAGGTTTCGGTACAGTGGGTCCAGGATCA